TGTTTTGGTACGTCAGTACGAAACACTGGGGGACCTAGACAATTCTGGTAGGGGTGTTATGAGGTGAATCAGTGAAGTTTGCGGCTGCTGTATCTGAACGCGAGCACAGCTGGCCTCGCTCAGGACTGTTTCGCTTGAGGGTGATTTCAGCAGTAAGGAAATTTATATGCTGCCTACAGATTATGGCAAAAGACACCTACTCCCGAAAAAGGCTGGCGAAGGACGAAATTGTACAGCTATACATTCATCAATGCCCAAGACAGGAAATATTTTGATGTACGCCTCTGCCGTGTAGATTGCGCAATTACATATGCCCTGTATGGTACTGAAAATTCTTGTTATATCGTTAAAGCATTACTGTAATTCTGGGGGGAAACAACATCAAGTTTAAGCAATCACCGATATGTAGGGCGCTTAATAAAAGCAATTGTCAATGAAGATACTAGATTTTCGATGTGAAACGTAATGACGTAAACGCGTCTCTGCAAACTGTCTATTTTTGGCTCTCAGGATTACCTTACGATTTGCATTAATTATTAATCCCTCTATAAACGCTAAATGCTTATTTGTTCAAGAAAAGATAAATTGTGTTTTATTTAATTGTTCGGTCTTCCCGCATTGTCTTCAATACTTTCAATTATTAACCTTTTTGAAGACTCATCGAAAACCAAAATAATGATTGTGTTACATAAGATGAATAGGAGGTTCCCACTTTAAATACCCGAAATAAATCTTTCGAGCGTTGTGTTTCTGTATGAGTATGAGAGCACTGACGTGGTGTGTGGACACGACCGGTTTCGAACTTCTATCTCACGAGTCGCGTAGTTAAACGCAATTATCGAGGCTCATTTTAGATAGCTGTCCCTTCTTGAATGAAGCCCTAATCGGAATCCTTCCAGCTGGCATAGGCTCGATATCAACTACGTGACACCTTCTCATGCGGGTTTCCCTGGACAGGAACCATGGATTTCATTTGGTATTTGATTGGTGCCTGTCGATACGAAGCATCAGGACATCCTGAAGGTTTCATATATTTTTAACGATCGTCGATATTTGTGACTGGGGTTGCGATAATGACACAATGAAGGCGGAATTGGTCTGCTGGCCAAGGGAAGCCGAACATTTACAGTTGCTTCTACAGCTTCATATTTTAAAATTAACTGACTGCAAATTTAAGGGATGACGTCTTGCGTAGCGTAGCTCTTATGACAGGCGGCGGCCCGCCCTAATGGCACCACCAGTTAACAACTGAAAATAGTAGATTCTTTTCCAACGTCTATTTTTGTACGAACTAATCCATACCGAAAAAAATCGCCGCCAGTGGGACATAGATAACGAGGTGGGGTAATGTGCAATATTCTTCCTACATTGCAATGATTTAACAAAAGGCTTGAAGGTTACCTGTTTATTAAACCCATCTGGAGTGACTGATCAAGGGCCTACCCTAGACTCGATCTGCGTTCAGCGTTCAAACAGCGGCAAGACAAACTAATCACTTTGCTATTGCCTCATTGTAACTGATCAAGTGGGGTGAATGAGGCGTGACAAACTGGACACGTCATATTTGTCTATAAAGTTACAGAAAAAGCACCACCACTCTCTACGTAGCAAGGTTGTGTGGAAGGTATCGGTGGTGAGAATTTTCAATTTAGGTCAAAAGAAATAATACGTCTGAGACATACGCACACCTAATATAACCCTCTGACTTTTTTGACAGCAAAAAGACTTCCCATGATGACTAATTTTCAATAAATCTATATTTCGGGTGAGTACAACACACGTATACAAAAAAGTTTGCTACCTTCAAGTCTGCGCAAATCTTATTTTTGGTCCGTAACAGCCTGGAGATGATAGGGCCGCGCCTGCGGGGGACCCTTCAGATTTTCAGATAAGAACAAGAGCAGCAGCAACCACTTTCGTTTTGGCGCGCCGCTTGGTGGCCGCAAGCTGACGCCCGATGCCCGTTGACTTTTCCCTTTTTCCCCGTATTATAAAAGGGGCTGTATGTGTTTCGGCATGACGCTTGTTGGATGATGTGGTGCTGCATGAGTTGATATGATTTCGACTCGTTTTTTCTCCCCTTTGCCACAAAGCCGACACCTCATTGAGTCGGGTGGGTCCAAATTGCATGAAGTCCTGATTCGCTGAAGTCTGACCATCTGTGGCAAAATTGATGGCCGGACTACCGAGCCCTCAGTCGCTGTTCATATTGAAGGCAAACTTGGGGCAGGGGACGGGGTCACACTGCGAAGGATCTATCGCTATAAGTAAAGCCGTGCCGACAAACAACCAAGTTAGGCCACCGTTGTGTCTTGTGCCGGCCCCAATAATAATTCCCCAGTAAAAGAGACGGGAGAAGATCCCTGTTGTTTCTTCAGCGTATCGTAAATCACTAGTGGCATTTTCAGACGGGCTAGTAGGAATGTGACGAACTAGTTAGTATAGCTGGGTTGGAAATGTTAGATCCATTAGATTCTGCAATAGCTCGTGGAATGAAACAGCTAATCGGTAGGGTAGCAGCTGATGATACATCGTTGTTGGTTTTATACGGTCCTTACGTTGACCCTAATTGAGTTTTCGCAGTACTCGGTGACTAGTTATCTAAAGAGGTCTATCAACGTGAGTATGAAACTACATTGTCGAACGCTTAAGCATCGTTAGATTTATGAATATTATAATAGGAATAATTGAATGTGATCTACAAGAATATACCAAATAGGAAATATACATATGTTATGGACCCTCTTCCTGATTAACTATTGTATATAGAAAGATTGATCACAGTGTATATAGATAAAATACAATGTATTCGCACTTTAATAGAGAAACGCTTAAGGAAACGTCGCGCTTTACGTCATTATTTACTCTAAGCCTACGCTGATCGTACGCTACACCTTCTGTACTTATGTCCAGTTTGCGATTCTAATTGCTTTCAACGATGTAGTATCTATATGGACGTATACGAAAGCAATATAATTTGTCATCGCATTTATTTTTATACCCATATATATATGGGTAAACCCATCCGCTGCCAGTTGATGCCATGCTTTCAAACGGTACACGTGCGATTTAGAAATAAATTTATTTTTTCGAGTATCTTCGTATCGGCAAAAGCCTAAACTCCCTCGTCGGCTACCGTTGTAACGCTGTATGTGATGCTACTTCCTATGCTAACTGAGTGGATATGGAGCTGTCTTTCTGTTGCTTGATGAGGTAACCATGGGCACATACTCCTGTTCATGAGCGCCAGCCATCTGTTACTCCTTGCAGAAATAAAACACCCACCTTTTGATTTTCATCCTAAGCTTTTCTATCGTTCGTTCGAATAGTGGTTGTAATTATGTGATGACTGACCTTCGTGTGTCCCGTCACAGCTAAGACTAACATTCACGATTGTTAACAAGCAAAGTGACACCTGTCATAAAATGTAAATTCAGACTTGTATCTGACTCTTCCTATCAGTGTCCATTCAGGATCAATCAAAAGATTCGATAGCTTTCCTAAGTTACCATATTGATCTTTTGCTTCCTCTTGTCCTGCGAACCTAGGAACATTATGTGTAGCAGAAACAAGTAATGTTTACTTAAGCTAAACGGTAGTTAGCCTACGACACAAATAATCTGTTTCATCATGAAAACGATGTTTCACTCGTTATAAACTGTCGTTTCTATGTTGAGTAGGACCCGCAAATTGTTATTTATTCTAAGATAATAGGTTATATTGAAACGAGGCCCAATTGTAGTGTGGGTAGAATTGCTTCATTCACCTGTTCCAAACTACACACTTTGGAAAGGCCAGAAAAATTCTATTCATATAACAATAATAACATCATACGATTTTAAATGATGTCAGGTTTATCATGCTGTGTATCGGCCTGCTAAAAGACAACGTCGAAGAAGCTACGTTAGATGATAGCATCTTCAGGGTGGATGAATAAGGCGACCTTTTCGAGGAATTGACATACCACCGCGAAATCAAAAATCTTACCATCGAGGTAGCCAGTCAGATTGTTAGTATGAATGAACCAACTCGACGAACAGATAGAAAAGCTGTGACGATTGCCAAATACGCGTCTTCGACAGATGCTGGGCCATACGTTCCAGCCATAAAACGGTGGATGTTTCACCTGCGTAAAATAGCCTATAGATAAAATGTTTCGTTTGTTCGTATTTCGAATTATCGTGCTTTAATTTCAGTGCTCGTTAAATCTTTGATCCAGTAGGATACATACGATCCTTGTTTCGCTTAGATAGACAATACGATTCGACGAGCGTTCAGGCCAAATTCACCTCTCTTGCAATTCATGTAGAAAGGATGATCGTTAAAAATAGGGCTTGCGCTATTTGTACAAATTGTATAGCATTTATCTATCGTTTCATATTAAGATTTCTAATACGAATGTCAATGAAAAGGCTTAATGCGGAATAGCTTAAGGACCACTTAAGTTCATGTGCTGTCATACCTTAAGTCATCAACGCTCCTTAGAACTTTGATTCAATTCACTGTACACTAAAGGTAATTAGCACTTGAGTTCAATAGATATTAGCTGCAATCCGCTCAGATAAAGATCTTAATATGCACGACGAAACTATTCAATGTTACTGGCCGATAAACCAGAATGAATAGTAATCCTAATCGCTAAACTTAGCATGCTTCGGCCTGAAACACATACATATTATTCGCACAATAGATAAATGGCAAAGCGCGTATCACGTTAGCTAAGCGGCTTGCTTGTTCGCGCCATGAAGCCCGGCCGTTCTAGTCGTCGACCTCTTCCGAACTCTCTCCAACTTACGGGCCACAGGATGCAAACATATAGTAGTACTCTTTCGACCGTGACCAATTCCCTTTAGCTACGAATACTACGGAGGAAATCGCTGGAGGAACGACTCTTCTTTTTTTCGGTCCGCATCAATGATCGGTCGCACGACCATTCCGGCGCCAGAAGCAGGGGGGTGGGGGGGGGGGCGAGTACGAGTAGTAGCTTTTACTGGCGATGATTTAAGGCTAGTCGAAAGCGTTCCGATCGGATATCCGATGCAGCTATTATCTCTGATGAGATCGGTTCTACTGTAGGACTCTGTTCCTACCGACGAGACCACGATGATGAAACAGCGTCGCGCTGACCGATTTGATCCGACCTGTTGAGTCAGAAATCGACACTAGCGAGACTGTCAAAGATGCTATAGCTAGCTCAGTGCAGACAATGTGGTTTCACCCTGATGGATATACTCGATAGTGTCGTATTTACGTGATCGCCTACTAACGTGAGGTGAAGTAGATTCGAGACCGGGCGTAAACGTACTTCATTACGTGCTGAAAGCCAGTTGTCCGATATAATAATTAAAGGTGATACCGTGCGTAAAAGTGAAAAATAATTTAATGTCTTTCTAGATTAGGCTTTTACCTTGACATCTACGACATACCTGTGTAAATGCGTTGTGTAAAGCAGTTCCCTATCAATGCTTTAAACCTAAGCTAGCATGCAGAGCTAATTTCACGAGTCCAGCCCAAATACAGATTAAATTCACAGATTCAAACGTGATAATGTCACACCAGAGAAACACATGTAAGCCCTTAATGTCGATTAAAGTGCTTGGAATCCATTGCTAGTTACTGTAGCCTTTAAAAAAGACACGTCTCAATGATCTAAGTTGAACTTTGCTTGACTTTCGTGGTTGGCGAGAAATACACCCACTCGCTGAACACATATTAAGTATGCTTGCTTTTACCTAAACCATTAGCGAACCTGCAGTTCTATATAAACTCTGTTATCACAAATCAAACGTGAAGGGCATTTTTCGCCAGCTTTTCCCTCTCCGCCCCCCGTTGGTAGGAGCCGATGATTTGAAACAGTGGCAGGCATTAAGAAAGCGCTCCTGCTTTGGACCACGTAGTGGGATTCTGGCTGGTTCTGTCAATGCAGCTACGAATTTTTCGGAGCTAATCGTCCCGTATTGTTGTCTAGTGGGGACAGAATGCACCTCTGTAGTAATCCACAGTTTTTCTAATCATAGCCTAGGAGCACTGAGATGAACATGAAGCAAGAAACGCTCTTCGATCGCCTGCACTGCGTCTCATAAGGCGTCGTTCCGCAAGGGCTCTACCCTTCAAATGGCCAAGCTCACTTGGTTAAAAGACCTGTTGTTAAAAGACCTGGGGTCGGTCTGTCATGGCGGCGTTGCTTCTAAATAATGTTATCCATATGTGTTAGGCAGAATAGGGTAGGGCAGGGTGCAATGCGAAATTAATGGATCGTTGACATTGAAGCGTTTGAGCCCGGCCTACGAGCTTGACTATGTGGCACTTTGGTGAACTACACCAGTAAATAGAATATTAGTTTATCACGAATAAAGAGTATCCCATCAATAATAGAATGTGCCCTTACGAATTTTATATGATAAATCACGAACGATAACTAGAAAATGGATCGAGCGAAACGGAAAACAGTCTCTGGTAAACTACAGGCTCAAGTATATTATATACAATTATATAGAACTCCGTTTATGCTACAAAAGCTATAATAAGATCATATCGAAATAGTTACCCGTTCACGTTTGCGTTACAGCGTCCGCATGCAAAGCCTCACTGTATTACACGAAACAAACACAAGTAGGCACTACTTGATGGCAGACCCGTATCAGTCGATAGCTTATTGGCACATGAACTGTATTACTTACAATGCAACCAGAATTGCCTTCATGTTAGACAGGACCGATGCTGTGTTGAGCGAAAGGCGTTGTAGACCTGGAGTGTATGGAAGTCGTGGTTACATTCTCTCGTTATGTCCTTTCTTCAAAACGTGCAGACTAAAGAACTGACCTCTTGAAAGCAAAGTCGTCCCTAGATGTGTAGAGCACCTGACGTATTTTAAAGGTTGTCTATTCGGGCGCGCCTCTTTAGCCATCAGCGCCCACTTCAAATTTCATTACTTTAATTTTATGCGTTTTTATCTCTACAGCGATCAATCAGCGACGAGAGAAGAGAAATCATATGAGAGCTCAGATTATTGCTTCTAGCTAAAATCATTCATCTCTCAAGGAATCGCCAATGGTGATGCTGCTAGCCTGTAAGACGTCCTGCACTAGCTTCGAAATGGTACGTGAGGCCTCAAATTCAGTTAGTTTATTGATTAGCCTGCGGTCTGAGGTCAAAGGCATCGGTAAGTTTCACAAATACTTCAAACATGTACTGTCCTTTTTTCTTCCCCTATATTTTGCTGCCGACCAGTGGCAATATGCAAGCTAATAGAAAAACGGTTCGCAAGACAAGGGTTCTTCCGTTGTTTTTGACTTCCGTAAATGCGTCATCAGCTATTCTTTTCATTTATTCGGAACTTTATCTGAACTGAAATATATGTTGAAAAGCTCGGTCTTATATGAGATTAAAAACATGGACTATTTATTTAGAAGCCAGAGGTTTTGGCCGATGACAACGAGTGTATACCTTTAGGTACCGTCAAATGGTTATTAACCTTTTCCAGGCAGACACTTTAAGGTATTTTATTGCTGGGTAATAGAAACTATCAAAAATTATTATTATTCAGCTGTTTCGCCTGGATGAAATATATTGCTCGGCTACATGGCATACAACCCAATCGCCTGCAGGGATAACAGTTCCTTTTCCATTTGATTTAAATAGCCTATCTTTGCTTGTAGATCTTTGTTTGACTGTGGGAGCCATAACCATAAATCTGAGAGCGTTTGTGTAAGTGCTACCCATATTACTAGCTTTGGCTTTCTATTAACTGCTAATTGACGTATTAAGGTGACGGCCGGATGGGCTAAGTTTGTAAAGGGCTATCAATGGTTTTTGCATAAGTCGATACCATCGGCCTTTGTGAATTTCACATAACGAGGAACTATTTGGCTCTGAAATGAAGGGCAGTCACCTGATTTTTCCAATACATTCGTAATACCCAAAAAGGGGTGAATGTTAAATATAGAAAATCCAACCGCTGGGTTAGCCCATATTATATTGTAGCGTTTGACAGTGTACAGTATGTCTCCTTAGAAATGTGAGCACACTGAGTGACTATGTTTCCGGTAAAACGGAAATAATTTTTTTAAAAAAGTGCTTACTCGCCTGTTCTCCACTGAACGTTAAAGCGGGCTATAGGATGAAAGACACCGCATTTGCTTGGTAACAGAAACCTATTGTCCTATAGATTATTCACCGCTCCCAGTTATATCACTTATAGCAGCAATATGGACCAGTAAGGCTATGAACTGTTTTCGATTACATACTCAATCACACGTATAAATGTCGATAGCGATAGCGATAGCATCAGTCACCCAAACTAATCTTTTTTTTTTTTAAGGCATAACTGCACTTATTAGAATTGAATCACTCTTATACTTGCCTAGTTTTATGGGCAAGCGATCTGTTTACAAGAGGGCATCTTGCACTCAAGCGAGTGCTTTCCGTTTTGTATTTCATTAATTTAAAAAGACGTTAGAAAACTGAGAGTTAACGACGTCGTCAAATGCAACCCTCATGATAGTGATTTAGATGCAAAGCTTTTTGTAAAGGGAAAACTCGGCCTGTTCGAATGACTAAACCAGTCTTCTTGTGCACAAACGATTTATCAACTTTTTTTTAGAAACTTCAAATAGGCAGGGACTTTTTTAAAGGGGATAGGGTAATAGACTACTTCTAGCAGTATCTAATGAGACCCATAAAAAAAGCACGCTAATTTAGCTGATTACCATTTTAGGCACTGAGATGTTTTTTTTTCAGGTTACGCCAAATCGGCTGTAGGTCGAACATTTTATGGTTGATTGTTTTGTTATGCGCACAAGTCTTCACGTACGTTATTTATGGATATCTCACTGGGCATCTATAGTGCATTTATGAAAGTTTTGCGAGTGAGTCCACCTGAAGTGATTAAGCACACACAACGATACCAGCTCAACGGAATTGTTCAACTGGTGCTCAAAATTGCTAACGACTACGAGCAACGTCTCAAGTACTCGCCATTAGTTTTCGTTGCTAATCGACATCTTTTAGCTTTGTAGGAGGCATCCGTATAAACAGAGGCTCGACATGGGGGGTACCCTGATGCTTATGTGTGCACAAACGTTTCGTTACATAATTCATTTGTCTAAGGTTTTTTCGTTTTCAGTCCAATTGATCAGTTCACTATTAAGATATCGTTATGGAAGGGTACGACTCAAAGCTTCCCTTAGTGTCTGTAATTCCAACACAAACGGATTTGTAACCGAGAAGATGATATCTACGTGAACGTCAATATAGATTATATATAAATTGATACTCCGGGAACACTAAGTTATAGATTTTCAAGGGCATGTAATCGATTCAATGGAACAAACATACATTACTAATTTAGCCCCTCACTTAGAAGAATGATCGAACGAAAAGTCATCGATCGAAAATATTGGTATTTTTATATTCCACAAAGCGATTTCGTGGTAGCTTAGTAAGTGATGTATGTTGACTAACGCTCTTAGGTTATGGGTTCGAGTTCGGACAAGACACACTGGATTTTTTGCTGGGAGCCTCCCGCTCAAGATAATGGCTAACGACGATGCCGGGCTCCAAACACGAAACACAAAAAAAGACTGAGTTTGAAGCCGCAATAGGACGTTGGAAATCGCGTTCTTCGAAAGATCTATTTGAAAAGACATTTACAGTATCACCAGCGTTTTACCAGTTTAGCAGTTTACCAGTTATGGGGGCGTGTCTAGAAATATTATCTAAGAACTTGTTTTAGGACAATTCCAATAAGAGGTGTTACTCTTAAAAACAGTGAAACACTCACAAAACAATTAAGGCTTAAGATATCAAAGTTCAGTCCGAGCAGGCCTTGAGCGTGCCCACGATTTAGGACTTGGCCTTTAAAGGAACTGTATGATTGGTAATGGAGGAGATTCACCCCTAAGGGATTCCGGTCACTTTTACTCAAAGACGAGGTTGGTTAAAAAGGCCCGAGCTTGGACACTACCTGACAGCACGGGGTAGACTTAAAGATCTGATGGGTTGAAGATACGCTGTAAATGTGGATGTGCTACTGCTCCTTTAATATTGCGTAAAATGATTTTTGTTTCTTGCATGAGAAATATCTCTGGAACCTTCAGTTTTCATGTATAGTGAAGATCTCAACGCATCCCACGGTCCTTTGAGCAAAAAACGATCACATCAGTCAACGGCCTAAAAAATGCTTAGCTTAACTTTTGACAATCGTTAATTAACACTTTGACACGAGATAGGTACTGCATAAACGCTTTTGAAGCACGCAAATTTTTTTATACACGTAAGAGCAACTCATTCTATATTTTTAGATTTCTCGGCAATATGAATCTGATGGACCATGACGAAAGTGCTAAAAAACGTATTCACTCTTTAGTTATAGTTTTCTAGTTTAGTTATATAGTTTTCTACATTTATAAGTGTTTGTTATCGTATATGACTTGTAGAAGTCACATTATTATTTTCAGTTGATGGCTTCGCGAAGTAGTGGGTAATTGGCGTTACCTCAATTATCGTCATAAACTTGATGAAATAAATTTAATGAACATTAAAATTTTCTTAATTTTATCGTCTTAGTTTTACCGGCTTCTATTCCACTTAATAATTAATAAAAATACCTCCTAAGATACGTTTTAAAACACCACCATATTGTACCTACTTAAAAACATCTTCGAATATTCATAACTATTATGTAAATGTGTTCTATTCACCAAAAATCTCAAGTCTATATCATTATATCAAGATGAGCGTGAAGCCGTATTGAAAACGCGCAATTCAAAGAAGAACAGCTGAATATAACTTCTGTTATCATTTGCCTTTCAGTTAATTCTTATTTGTCTTCATCCCAACTCTTGCGCTCCTCGTATTGGTATAGAGCTTCGAATTTATCCATCTTAGAAAACAATTACAAGTAATTATCCGTTGCGCTGCTACCACGATGGCGTGTATACAACTCACGACCTTGGGTGCCCCGTCAAAATACCTGAGATTTTGTCTGCCACCTTCGCGTAAAGCCGCCTGAGATAGCCATTTCTCTAATCGACGATTGCGCCCATCTCTGATAAATCGAAAATGCAAAACTAAAACTTGACAATTAATAAGGAAAAAACTTTTTGACATTAGTTGGACGTTAGGGATCGTTATCTGTATTAGGCCTAAGCAAATAGATTATACGTAATTTCTCCTTAAAGACTGACGGGAATAAACCGCTGGGGCAATGTATTATACTTGTAAATAATTGTTATAAATATTGACCAAAGAAACCTAACAAACACCTTTCAAAAGACCAAAAGACAGTATTTTTCGAGATATATAATTGGAATATACACTGACTGAATATAATATACACTGACGTGTACAATGTGTATTACATAAGGGGATTTTCGACGCAGCATTAGATCTAACAAATGTTGTTTAATGATGAAATTCTAATTGATTGCTGAAATTTTTTGAAATTGAATTTTTGTTAAAACGTTTATTATGAATTTCGTAGAGCAAGTGTTTGATCCTATCACAGATGCAGTATAGGTATCTTTATGCAGATGAGGGAACCTTCTTCATCAGTTTCCTGCAACAATTGAATTTTAGAGGGACATAGCTACGTTTGTTTGGTCAGCCTAAGTGGACGTTAGTTAGTTTATAAAAGCTTAAGTTAACATTCCATCTATAAAAAATTATCTTCGGAACAAGTAACGTAACTAGAAAGAAAAACAAAAACTCGGGCACGAAATTTAAAGTGATTAGGAAATACTCTTCCTCATTACTATTTAATTTGCTAGACGGCTTGACTGGAGCTTTTCTATACGTTTAGCATAGAACCAATGCCTTCCGAGCACAAATCCGCGTCCTTCGCAGCAACTCGCTTTCAAGACAAATCAGAAAGACAAACAGGAGTTTGTGGGGCTGGCTCTATCTGCCCTCCTTTGAGTGACACTTCGATTGACAAAAGGACTACCGTCAGCACAATAACAACCTGACATAGAAGATTGATTACTTGCCGTTTGGGACTTTTCTAAATCATTCGATTTTGACCCTGCCCGTGATCCCCATGTCAGTTGCCATTTTTCCACTACTGATTCAAAATAAAATGTTCCTTCTTTCCGGTTTTACATATATACATATATATAGCCTCACAAGCTACAAGTAGCAACTAGAGGATTCGGCGCTCCAGTCTTATGATCCGTTCTTTCCCTATAATTTATTCAGCAGAAACCAGCAAGCGTCAAGTGGAAAACTATCTCGAACTTAAAACTACATAACAGTATTGGACGTATAGAAAGCTGAAAGATTTAAACTTGTATGGCGTATTATCATGTCGGTAACGCTTCTGTCAATCCGATCGTCAATGTCAATTGATATAACGGATCGAATATTCAGACCCTGATGGGTTCTGCCACAAGCCATGTTCATTCATCTGTCGGAGACCCAGTTGAGTCTGTTTAGCACCGTGAGGCAGGTGAATCTCAGTGTTAGCTTAGTTCCGCATGCGTTTGCTGATCTAGCTAATGCTGGACCGCGTAGCTCTCACTAAAGGGACTCTTTTGCATTGTATGAGGGTGGAGCTGTACGATATGGCAGGTAAACATGTCACTAGTTGTATCAAAACTGTCAATCATGCGTCTATCGGCTATGGTAAATTCAGGGGTGATCCACAGGAGCACCATTTCGGGGAGTCGACTTCTTAGCTAGAATTGGTTTAACTAAATGCTACGTTGATAAGAAAAACCAACGTTGTGTCTTTCTACCATGCGCATGGTGTAAAAAAGCGACAGCATGTCAAAACGGATCCAGGACGTGACATGATTAAGCGATAGGCTGCACGGCCATTCTCTGATCAGCTTATGAGACAGGACATAAACGTACAAATAAAAGTTTCGAAGTCGGTACTCATGTTTTGCATGATAATCGTTCCCAGAGTCAGTTATCACACAGCCTCGAGAAATGAATTGAATTATACTGGGAATCATTTGGAATGTCTCTTTACCGCTTTCTCATGCAGTAGTTACTGGTATGATATATGTGATAATATAACTGAATATAAATAGTTTTCCAAACTTTTTCTCAGATGCGACCTACGATGTTCGGTTCACTGTACAATAGAACTACACCGCACTGACAACTGCTTTCCTCAATCTAAATACGAGAATTGCCATTTTATAGTAGTACCTCTAGTTACAAACCAACGATCAAATATATACATCATCGACTAAGATATTCGTCTCGCTCGATTAATTGACACTCGTTCCGCAAAACACCCCACCCCTAATAGCAGGGGTATGTATGCCTTACGCTAGAATCATATCTAACCCTATTCCATTGTTCCATTAGTGGAATGCGGACATATATATCTTGTTCCTCCAATCATAAAGTATCCTAGCATCGAGAGAGTCGCTGCAGAAGGGCGTAGTTTGTGAATGTAAGAACGTTCATGAAGGGATACATGAAACGTGGCCTTACGCGTTCAATATGAGGGGTGGCAAGTTGCGGGCTTGGGACACTCGCTCAAGCATAGCAGCTGGGCTAGAACTCGTCGTTTCGACAATTCCTATCGAAATTTTGCTGCATATCTTCGTCCGTTTCGAACTATACACACATAGATGTATATATAGTCGGTGTGTCTATAGCGTCTGCCCACCCGTGCCTGTTCATCGGTGTTGCCTCGTCGGCAATGCTAATAGAATTTCAAAATTGCAGAACATAGGAATTTCAGTGCTAATAAGCAAGAGCATAGAAAGTAAGGAAGAAGAATACGCATAGAGCGGAGAACATGAACTTATACTAAATGCAGTAAGGACTGATCCAGGGAGACACTGGCACTGCCTGTGTGAGACAGGCGAGTGCCACGCGAAGTATGTGGGAGACAACGCTTTTTCATAGGCTACCTAAAGCCAACGTTCGTTCGCCGGGTAGACGCGATCGGCTTGCAGCCGGAGCCGTATTCGGATCTAGGATACGCTCAACCAGCCGCGAGATCAGACGCGAAAGCTTTGCTCGTTGGGCAGAATCTTTACGAAGTGAGGTGGATGACGACGACGACGACAAGGTTCAAAAAGAGCACACGTCTAGGCCGCCCTAGCCGGAAGCCCAAAAGGAAGTCACGTGTACGGTGCTCGTTGAACGACAACTTTGAGAGCGACTATAGCCATAGCTACGTCGGGACAACTAGATAACACTGCGTTTCCTGCGACCTATAGCGCGGTGACACGGCGATGATTCATTGAGAGCGGTCTCCTCATTTATCGTCTATCGCTGTTTTCGATTGCCTCTCACGCCGATCGGTCGAGTCGCTAGGGTGAGCGATGTCACCCAAACCTCAAGCTGGGCCTGTGGCTTGGTCCCGCATCTGCGCTATGAGGCGTTCCGAATTGCTTGGAGGGTGGCGCTGTTGATGACGATGATGTTCTGTGGCAACGACGTTCTCGCAGTATCGTAGTAATATTGTTCCTGAGCTCTAGGATAGTCTGTGGAAGTACATATTTGAATTTTTTTTTCTTCACTCCCACTATATACGCTATCGTATACTGTATAGGTCAAGCATAGCGTGCTTGCTGCGCGATTAAAGCAGATAAACATTGTTGTGGAGAAGATGTCTTACTGGGATGGTTCGAGTCTGACCATCATTACCGACATGGCTCGCACAGCTACAATTTGATAGTGAAGTACGAACTCGTTTTTTGTCGATGATGAGTTCGATTGCTTCGGCTTTCGATTGTCCCAAGGCTCTTCGATGGGTTCTGCGGCTGCTGCTTTCCACGAGCCGCCAGAGTCGCCGACGTCTCTCAAAGTTTTTCTATATGATCTATATGAACGAAAATATCGTGTTAGGTTTTGAAGCAACGTAGCGAAAACTTGCGCCATTTTAGCGGACTGAGCCACTCTTCATTAGGTTAAACATCGCTTGAGCTAGCCACAATGTATAGCCGAACGGAAATGATGAACGAAGATCACAACACGGTTCGCTCGACGCTGATATGTAAGATGGATAGCAAGGAAGAGAAAGATACATCGTCGTTTTAGACTGGATAAGCAAATTAGACGATGCTTACGAATCGACGATCTTTGTTTGCAGCGAAATTGCATTGAGGATGTTGGAGTACACCTCCACTCTTAGATAAATCGAGCAAAGAAAGTCTAAGGAAATTAAACGAATTGTTAGTCTAAATAACAAAACACAGTCATTTTCCCACAAAGCGCACTTTAGCCATATGACAGTAGCCATCTAAGAAATTATTATTACTACATATTGACTACATATAATGTGTTTTAACATGACTTTATACTGAAGGCTAACGTTAGATTAACGTTAAAGGTCATTTAGATAACATTGAAAGTCGGTGTTAGCCGGTAAGACTATTAAATTTTCGAAAGCTAACCTATTTCATCCCGAATACGACAACATAAAAAACGTCTCTGCCATAACGGTTAAAGATTCATATCTATATGTGGAATTTTTTGATAAGCATCGCAGTTCTATTCAAGCAACGCTCCTAATTATCTTCCAAGAGCTAAAAACTCACAGATGCCCCACCGTACCATGAAGTTGGATATTCTAAAATTTTCTAAATGCCTACAATGTGTGTCGACTCCTGGATGCGGGCTAGTATAGTTTGATAATGTTCGAAAGCAATAGCCAAAGCGAGAGGAACGAGTGTGGGCCCTGTATTTTCGTCGTATCGCCTAACGAAGTGCAGCACCTGATTCATGAAGCACGATGCAGCTACTAGTAATCGTCAATCCCCTAAGCTGCATAAAGGAAGTCAGCTCTGAGAGCGAACTCTATACCCAGTCTGATGTTTAATTTTTACTTCACTTGGCTTCGAAAAGTGTAACGAATGTGGCTTCGGTTCTTGGGACCATATTCGTTGGATTATGTTAAGCTCAACGCTGCATTGTCGAGCTAACTGCCGCCTCCTTTGCTTTACTTTCTTCATTGGCAATTCGGCTTGCCACAACACCAGATTATAACACTGCTCAATGCACTGAAGTAAACAAGCTTGTGAGGCATTCCCTTGCAACCCACACACGGCCAGATTCAAAGCAGTTCCTTTCTTCGATTTAAAGTGCGGGGTATCTCTATGCAAATTGCTGATTGCTTTGTTGACCCATTCGACATCAGGGTAGATAGCTGGGCAGGTAGATGGGTGCATCACGGACATGTGCCAGGCTCTAGATTAGGACTCGGTCAGTAGGTAGGCCTAGAGAGTTAGTCGGTGATACGATCATTTCGCCTTTAAGCGGGACGATTGCCTGCTTTCGAGTTGGCCTTACTTCAGCTTAGATCTAGCCATAATCTCTTCGGCTGCTATAGCGTAACGGCACAATGTTTGGATTACACACGTGCAGGACGCCCCACAAGCACGGCCGTATGCAACCATCTTCTGCATGATATATAAAATCGCTTAGTTACTTACCCAAAAACCAACGATAGGTGAGATAATAAATCTCTGAAATGAGAAAAAAAGATTTATATATATATATCATCGTCGCGTGTGTAAATAGGTATGCTCGTATATCTTAAACAAGGCAACGAATAACACGTGGACAAGGAGTGTTGTGTTTAGGTTATGTATACGGCAAGTATGCGAGTGTGGGTCAATATGGCTGATACAGTAGAAGTACGTCAGATAAAGAAAATAGGTCCTTCGAATGTCGACAGTTGTGAAGGAAGGAAGCTAGGGAAAATCCTGAACGCTTATAAAGAGATCTATCAAAAAAACGGAAGAAATCAGCTAAGATAACATCAACGAAGAAATAGTAGGTAGGCAGTAAACAGCTCGTCCTGTTTACGGGGCGTGGCTACGGTAAGATTGGAGCTGTTAGGGATGAGACGTTTTTCTAGATTATTTCTTGCTGAAGCCAATGAGAACACTTCGCTTTACGAATGTTCCCTACATGTCTGATATTACTGCAAATAGACGTGATCATCTCTTTACGTATACACATATGTACCACCGAAATTTACGCCGAAGTTAGTATATCTTGGCAAGAAGGCAGGGCCAAATGCACAGCGCAAAAATAGTTATTTTTTCAAGATCTAAATAGATAAAGTGAGGGTACCATCAAAGTTTACATTGCAGGCAACAACCGTGATGACAATCACTTAGAACGTGCCCAGATCTGTTAGAATTTTTAGTATTTTAGCCAGCTATGCCTTGCAGGATAGGCAAGTCAGTCTGAAAATTGGGGCAAAGCAAAACAACATTATCGACAAATTCGTCGAAAAAAATCGACAAAAGGTATCCGGGTCAAACGTTAATTATATGGATGCCTGGACCAAATCTAGTCACCGACCGGCTGATTAAAATGAGTTGCACGGCAGAATAGAAACGTAAGTGAACTTGGATTTTAACGAGCAACTTAGACACAATCTATTTATGGGTCAGGGTCGAAACATCTATGCTAAACTTATTTATGGAGTCCGTGCCATATACAAATTGTTTCTGGCCGGTAGACCGCAATATTTAAACTCATTCGACCGGCCATCTTCTTAAAAGCAGTAACAGGCTTGCTTTTTTTATTTCTTATTTTACAAATATAGGACGATATTTTATTAAATATCGACTTATATATGTATAAAGCTTTGTCTCAAGGGTGTAGTTTAGCCAGTTTACCTTGGCTCACGGACGTTCGGATATAGAAAGCCATGTTAAAAAGTTTAACCGATTTTTTAGGTCTAAAATTATAACAGATTATCTTTTCTATTTTTTATTATTTATTATATTTTCTATTGAGATTTCTGCAGATAGCCTTGAATGTTGGCCGCTGTCGCATTAGATCTTTATCTTGAAGACCATATGATAACTAAGGACTTCTAGAACGAGCGATTTTTGGTTGGACGAGATCTGGAAATGATTAAAATTATGCCGTGGAACGGTTAGCGTTTGTAATGCGTAATAGTATAAAAGACTATTTTGTAGATTTTGTCAACTTATGCAACCCGCATCTATGTTTCTGTAACCTTATTGATTTCTATACAATATATACTTATATGTATATAAACGTTCTGCATCCATCTTTGTAATTCTAATGCAGTAGACTGTACGGACCAGACTTCGTTACAGGTACTACATTACGTCAACAGCACTTACAGAATGCGGTTATTAATTTGCACACCGGTTTTTTCATTCGACGCGGTACGATCGTACTTCTCAGTCTTCAGTTCTTCTCAGTAAAATCTTCATGAAGCCATAAAATAATTT